TCCGGAGATATTAATACTGCCCCTATGCCATGACCCAGTATATTTGAAGCCCCATCAAATACTAGTGTCCATCCATTATCCCGTCTTTCGTTATCCGGAGATACCATCATAATTCCTTCATCGGGAAATTCTTCCTTCATTGAGTCCTCTTTAACTACCGGTTGGTTGGCCAGATAGTCGGCAATGATGCTTCCCTTTATGGCCTTCTGAGAGACGTATACGATGTCATATTCAGATAATAATACTTGTCATCTAGCAATTCTTCCTGTCAGAATGGGCTTCTCAAAGATATACTTGATTGGGTCCATCTTGGATATCAACCAGACGGTGTGGCTCAACATATACTGCCTCAGTCGACGGGCTGCCCAGGCCAAGGCGCAACAAGTACGCTCCAGTAATGTATATCTTATTTCACACCCAGTAAACTTCTTGCTCAAATAATATATGATATGCTCTTTTTTGCCTGATTCATCATGTTGCCCTAGGACGCAACCCATAGACTCATCTAACACAGTTAGGTACATTATTAATGGCCGACTTGGCATAGGAGGCATCAAGATCGGGGGTTTTGTCAGGTATTGCTTGATCTTGTCAAAGGCTGACTGGCAATCTTCGTTCCACTTCACGACCTGATTCTTCCTCAGCAACTTGAAGATGGGCTCACAGGTTGCAGTCAGTTGAGAGATGAAACGAGAGATATAGTTTAGTCGACCCAAAAATCCTCTGACTTGTTTCTCCGTTTTAGGAATTGGCATTTCCATGATTGCTTTGACCTTTTCGGGGTCTACTTCTATGCCTTTCTGGCTGACGATGAATCCAAGGACTTTCCCAGATTTTACTCCAAAACTGCATTTGCTTGGATTCAATTTGAGTTGATACTTCTGTACCCTTTCAAAGAGTTTTTGCAAGTTGGCGACGTGCTCCCCCTCCGTTTTGGATTTGAAAATTATATCATCTACATAGATCTCAACCTCTTTATGCATCATATCGTGAAAAATAGCTACCATAGCCCTCTGGTATGTGGCCATGGCGTTTTTTAACCCGAATGGCATCACTTGATATCGGAATGTTCCCCAAGGGATAATAAAGGTTGTCTTGTCTATATCCTCCGGAGCCATCTTCATCATTGGAAATCCTGAAGTTGAAGGTTAATCCTAATATACGTACATTAGATCTATCTCTAATGTTAAGTACTTCACAAGGTTTGTTAGAGATGGAACGAGCATCCCCAAGAGCACAAATTAAGTTCATTTATCCTAACTTTATTATTATTAAGGATGTAATCCCTATTTGGCTCCGTGATTATTCCGATGACCCCTCATCAAAACCAAGCTTCCTGGTGAGAATTAAATCGTTTATATGTGACTTTTGCTCTATGTTCTACATGCCACCTATTTAGCCTTTTTTCACATTTTATCTTATCTTTGTAACAATTATTTTCTATGTGTTATTTTTTATTCCTTCTTTCTATTTTATATTCTTAAAATTATTCAACATTTCTATCCTTTTTTTTTGGACATTAGTGCTTTCTACCCCACTTGTTTGATTTTCTATCTCAATCAGAAAGAAAATACTTTCAAGAACTTAAAAAAATCTAGAAAGAAAGAAAATCACAGCTTAAAGAAAGGTCACATATTCCAACCACATTATTGCGTGAAGACAACATATGTGTACTATTATTTAAAAATATATATTTTGGTTACAATATTTATATACATATATTATTTTTTTCACAAAGAAATCTAAAATGTGTAACAATCATATTAAAAATGCTATGCATATGTCGTATGGAAAAAAACACTTGGACTTAAACTTATCAAACCACACTGTTTTACAATCTTTAAATACAAACAAGAAATATAAATAGAAAGTGAGATCAACAATTCCAAGACTAGCAAACAGGTAGAGTATTAGATAACTATGAACTAGGTAAATAATGAAAAAATGATTTCCAAATATATAAATGGACAACCAAAGTTTGTCACTATACTTCTTCATTAATGATTCTCTCAGATGCTTTAGGACAAATTAATTTATTTTCATGTTCAATTCTATCAAAGTTATATGTATAAAAGAAAAGAGTTTACCTACGTCAGAACAAATAAAGATATTTATGATGGGGCTAGAACTTGTATAAGGACACAAAGGACCTACATAAGGTCTAGTGTGGGCAAGTGTTTTACTGGGTTGATTCTTTTTAATAATATATGAAAATGATTTGTCATTTTTACTCATTAGTTGTATTTAATTATGTGTTATTTTTATCTACACTAATTAAATATTTACACTTATATATTATTTTTCTCTCACTATCTACAAAATTTTGCTCCAATACTAACCATAGGGTTGGGATTTCATAAAGGATTTTCTTAACATTACAAGACTGTGTTAAGAGTTAGCTCTGACCCCGACATTTTTATATTAGGATAGGTTGATTGAATGTACTTGTAGAATATATCAAAACTATTAAAAGTCAATCTTGCTACATATTTATTATTTTTTTATAATTAAAGATTTGTGTGGGAAAATAAATGGTAAATATAGAGACAATCTTCCAAAGTACATAACTTTGATACAAATTAAAATAATATATATATATATATATATATATATATATATATATGTATGTATGTGTGTGTGATTGAACGTAAGTTTAATGGAATGCCCATAAGTAGTACAATATAAATAAGAATTGGAGATGATAAAATACCACATTGTTTCAGTTGAAGCTTTATGAATTTTATTTTATTTTTGTAAAAAATCACCAAATCTCTTTTTTAGTTTTTTTCAAATTTCAATTTAGATGGGAATTTCAAAAGCTAGTCATCTAAATGCTCAATTTATATACATTCATAACACTAATAAGGTTTAATGACTATGTCTATGAGGTGCACATTCATAATCTAAATGGAGGTATATGTTGGAAGACCGGCTCTGCGACTTAGGGAGAGAGAAACTCAATTTCTATCTATCCCAATTGAATTGGAGTTGTCACTACGTTTTTTAGGGATAAAACATAGAAAACTATCTAATAAGCCCAATTAGGATAAAGTGATCTTTAAGTAGAGATTCTGAGCTCAAGAGCCGATTACGGATCGAGAAAGATATTATCACCCCGTCCGCTCGTATAAAAACGGAACCCTCGCTAATAACGTGGACTTTTATACCCTTAAAATTATTTATTAAAATTCAGTAATAAAATCAAAATGTTTTATTTTTATTGTTGTGCTTGACGATAGTTCATCTAGCTCCTATGTATCCATAGGTGCAGGGAAATCAAGAAGGCTATGTAATTCTCGTTATAAAAATTGATGGTTGTTGGTTTGCTTTCATTCGATTGATTTAATTAAATTGAAATTGTTGCTTTCATCGTAGAAATATGTTTTTATAGTTTTGTGGAAATAGGGATTAATATCAAAGAGACAACATTGGTTGTAGACCGACTTTCCACTCTTAGATAGGGATGGCAACGAGCACGGACGGGCACAAGTAGTAGCTACCCGCTACCCGTTTTAAAATCTCAAAGCATTACCCATACCCACCCATACCCTCATACGGGTTTTTCGTGGGTATTTCTGGGTACCCGCATATATAACGGGTACCCACGAGTTTCTTGCATTATCAATGAATTTCTAACTTAATTATTTTTGTGAATTTTGATTGAAAAATTAGCAATAATATTACATATATAGTTAAAATTATAGAATATTGGAGTTTCTATTTGTGTGATTTACTCTTCTCATTCCTTAAGAAAAAATTGTATATTTTTGTTTGTAAGACATGTGTGTTTTTACACATATAATGATATATGTAGGGTATTTCACCACCAAATTCAATAAAAAATGTAGACAAGATAAAAGAATGTCAACAAAGTAAAAGGAAAAATGTAGACAAGATAAAAGAATGTCAACAAAGTAAATGAAAGTCTTCTTAATTTACTTATTATTTTAATTAAAGGTAATATTCTAATCACATAAATAACAGGTAATCGCAGGTACAGGTACTACAATACCCATGCCCGCCCATATGTACTATGGGTATTTTAGAAACCCATTTGTTAAACTCGCGGGTACCCATTTGTGATGTTGTACCCATGCCCGTACGAGTTTTACCCATGAGTACGGTTTTTTTGTCATCCCTACTTTTAGAGCAAAAAGGAAGAGAAGATACGGGTCGTAGACCGAACTATTTAAATCCCATAAATTATGGTTAAACGTTTGAAGTATGTTTATAAAAATTATTTTTATAAACATACTTCAAACGTTTAACCATAATTTATGGGATTTAAATAGTTCGGTCTACGACCCGTATCTTCTCTTCCTTTTTGCTCTAAAAGTAGGGATGACAAAAAAACCGTACTCATGGGTAAAACTCGTACGGGCATGGGTACAACATCACAAATGGGTACCCGCGAGTTTAACAAATGGGTTTCTAAAATACCCATAATTTATTTTTATAAAAATAGAATTGATAGCGAAGAGACATCACTGGTCGTTGACCGACTCTCCACATTTAAAGCGGAAAGGAAGAGACGACACGAGCCGTAGACCGAGCTACCAAATTCTCGGTAAAAATATTAAATTCTTAAAGAGGATTATAAATACTTTATTTAAAAGATAAGTTTAATTTAAAAGAGATAATTATATTATTTTATAAAACTAAAATTGATAGCAAAGAGATGGTACTGATCGTAGATCGACTTCATATCCTTATGAGAGAAAAAATAAAGACAACACAAGCCTTGAACCGAACTATCAAATTTCATTTAAAGATTTTGAAATTTTTTTAAAAACATTCCTACATAATTTATTTTTGGAAAAGAGTATAATTAGTAATAGATGGATATATTTTAAAGACAAATTTTACTGGTTATTTAATCACTTGTTAAAATCTAGGAGTTGGCTATATATAGCTCTCCACAGAGAATTATTTTTACTTGCAAGATTTATTTATTATCAGAGAATTATTTTAACTTGCAAGATTTCTTTATTTTCAGAGAATTAAGACTTCTTCCCGGCTGCTGCTACTTCAATTTCCATTGGTAATTTTCAAACTTTATTCTTCTTTACTGCTGCTGTTACATCATTTTTTAATATTCAAATAAAAAATATCTTCTCACAATTGAAACGTTTTATTGTTTTATTATTTTATTATTTATTAATATTTTTGTTTAATTTTTTTAGTTTAATAAATTTGTCTTGATATAAATAAGGGGCTTAAGTCCATGAACAAATTTTATTCAAAAAACAATTTAAAATTTTGCTTCATTCATTTGGTGATGAACTTTTCATCTTCACCCCCGCTCCTTCCATTTCCTCTATTTTATATTCTTAAAATTATTCAACATTGCTATCTTTTTTGCACTTTAGTGCTCTCCCACCCTTGATGAGCTGTCTCAATCAGAAAGAACCTTTGTCCTGCCTTATGAAATTAGACATCATTTAATTGTGGTGAATATGAGAGGAGAGAAAAGGACAAGAGAAAAATTGAGACTAATAATGTTTTAATCCTCTTTATTCTTTCTCTCTAACGGTAATTTTTCTCTCTATATTTATCTTTTTAGCACTCTTCACCTACAGCTGCAAATTTCTCTTCTGTAATTTTTTAATCATCTTTATTCTTTTTCTCTAATTGTAATTTTTCTCTCTATATTAATCTTTTTAGCACTCCTGTTCTTCACCTGCTGCTGCATCATTTGGTTTCTGCATTTCTGATCAAATTTCCAACAGTAAATTTCTAATCCTCTTATTCTTTTTCATTATTCATTCTTTGTTTTATTCCTCTTCTTCTACCTATTTATCTCATGCTATATAAGGATAACCAACACCATTATTCCTTTTAATTTCTTGCTTTATACAGTTAACTTCATATTTTCTTTCTACAAAAGAAATGCAACAATATTTTTGTTGAACACTCATGTAATTTGAATATTTGGTAACAATATTGCTTATTAATCAGTTGCAAACACTGTTTTGTTGCATGTCATTAAGTAATTATTTTCATACATGTGTTGATTTTACAAGGAACTGCGTAATTTTTTTCTTGAATGGAAGTGTGTTAAGAGTAAGAAATGAGGGGAGATAAAGTGGCCAAATTTGTTTGATTTCAACTTTGAACTATTTTTTATATAATTGTCAAGGAAATGAAGTTTAAACTATTTTTTATATAATTTCTTTTTCTTCTGCTATATTTATGCATTACCAACAACTCTGCATAGTTAGTACCAAAAAACATTGAAGCTATTGATTATCACTGGAATATTCTTAAAAATTACCTTAGGTATCAGAAGATAGATATAGAAAAAAGAATAGCACACCCTAATTATGCCATGTGCCCTATTAGTTAGAGCCATGTGCCCTATTAGTTAGAGCCATGTGCAATCAGCTCTCCATTTCCTTTGTTCCTGTTTTACCCTAGCTTTACTCCCTTTATTCCCATTGGAGGCTACGGACAATGGATATTAGTGTAGTCTGATTTCTTAAAGCTAAAGATGACACGAAAAAGTAAATATATCAATGAAAAATAAAGTATTTTTTTTACTTGTTAAAGTATATTTTTTATGATAATTGTTAATGTATCATTTTTTATAGATTCATTCCATTAATTAATAGGTACTATTAGCAAGTTTGAGTTTTATTTATTTGTTTATATCTCAATATATTTCGTGTTTCTTTTCATTATGTAATCAATTTTCTTTTCACTATTTTCTCTATTTCTTTTTAACTATGTTTTATGTTTCTTTTTAGTTATGTTCTTTGTTTTTTTTTTTGTCAAAAAATGAATTTCAATCTTCCGGGCTAAAGTAGGTAACATATTTCTCACATTAGGCAGGATATGCTTTTGCATCATCCCCAATGTGGGGATGAAGTTGTGGAGCATATAAGATAACATGTATTGGTAGAAAATAGGGATGACAATGAAAACCGAACTCGCGGGTACCCGTCCGAACCCAACCCGAATTTAACGGGGAAAACCCGATGTGATTGGGTTCGGGTTTTACCCGAGTACAAATTTCGGGTTCGGGTTCAAGTTCGGGTTTGGTATTGTTAATACCCTACACCGAACCCGATTAATATATGTTAAATTATAAAATTACATATAAATACATATTTATAAAATTACATATAAATACATATATGGAAGACCGGCTCTGCGACTTAGGGATAGAGAAACTCGATTTCTATCTCTCCCAATTGACTTGGAGTTGTCACTACGTTTTTTAGGGATAAAACGTAGAAAACTATCTAATAAGCCCAATTAGGATAAAGTGATCTTTAAGTAGAGATTCTGAGCTCAAGAGCCGATTACGGATCGAGAAAGATATTATCACCCCGTCCGCTCGTATAAAAACGGAACCCTCGCTAATAACGTGGACTTTTATACCCTTAAAATTATTTATTAAAATTCAGTAATAAAATCAAAATGTTTTATTTTTATTGTTGTGCTTGACGATAGTTCATCTAGCTCCTATGTATCCATAGGTGCAGGGAAATCAAGAAGGCTATGTAGTTCTCGTTATAAAAATTGATGGTTGTTGGTTTGCTTTCATTCGATTGATTTAATTAAATTGAAATTGTTGCTTTCATCGTAGAAATATGTTTTTATAGTTTTGTGGAAATAGGGATTAATATCAAAGAGACAACATTGGTTGTAGACCGACTTTCCACTCTTAGATAGGGATGGCAACGAGCACGGACAGGCACAAGTAGTAGCTACCCGCTACCCGTTTTAAAATCTCAAAGCATTACCCATACCCACCCATACCCACATGCGGGTTTTTCGTGGGTATTTCTGGGTACCCACATATATAACGGGTACCCACGGGTTTCTTGCATTATCAATGAATTTCTAACTTTTTATTTTTATTATGTTTTGCATGAGATGAAACTTATTTATTTTTGTGAATTTTGATTGAAAAATTAGCAATAATATTACATCTATAGTTAAAATTATCGAATATTGGAGTTTCTATTTGTGTGATTTACTCTTCTCATTCCTTAAGAAAAAATTGTATATTTTTGTTTGTAAGACATGTGTGTTTTTATGTACTATGGGTATTTTAGAAACCCATTTGTTAAACCCGCGGGTACCCATTTGTGATGTTGTACCCATGCCCGTACGAGTTTTACCCATGAGTACGGTTTTTTTGTCATCCCTACTTTTAGAGCAAAAAGGAAGAGACGATACGGGTCGTATACCGAACTATTTAAATCCCATAAATTATGGTTAAACGTTTGAAGTATGTTTAGAAATAATTTATTTTTATAAAAATAGAAGTGATAGCGAAGAGACATTACTGGTCGTTGACCGACTCTCCACATTTAAAGCGGAAAGGAAGAAACGACACGAGCCGTAGACCGAGCTACCAAATTCTCGGTAAAAATATTAAATTCTTAAAGAGGATTATAAATACTTTATTTAAAAGATAAGTTTAATTTAAAAGAGATAATTATATTATTTTATAAAACTAAAATTGATAGTAAAGAGATGGTACTGATCGTAGATCGACTTCATATCCTTATGAGAGAAAAAATAAAGACAACACAAGCCTTGAACCGAACTATCAAATTTCATTTAAAGATTTTGAAATTTTTTTAAAAACATTCCTACATAATTTATTTTTGGAAAAGAGTATAATTAGTAATAGATGGATATATTTTAAAGACAAATTTTACTGGTTATTTAATCACTTGTTAAAATCTAGGAGTTGGCTATATATAGCTCTCCACAGTCCACATTATTTAGGGAATACAAATCACATAAAAGACTAAAATTAAAAGGATGGCAATAAAATAACAATAAAACATCAAATAAATAATGATATGACTTAGGAATAATTAAGAAGATTACCGCCCATTAAACCTGCAGAAAATGAAATAGAATAGGGAATTTAAATCCCTAGCTTTTCCCTTTGGCGATTTCACTCAGTCAAGGCGATGAGGGCGTCGGCTTCAGCCTGCAGAGGAGGCGGCGAAGGCGACTCAGGTGTGGAGGATAGCCATCCACGGCAATCACGCACCAGGACGTCTTGGCGTGGTCTCGTTTTCGTCTCGGATGGCCAACAACCAAGAGCACGGCGGCTCCGGTTCAAGCAGGGAGGCTGGTCGTCCACGACGGGCCGGTCGAGACACATTAAACGGCTCATGGCCCGAAACCCCAGCGGTGGCTACGAGTTTCCCTCTTCCAATGGCGGTTGAAGCTGACATCGACAAAGGAGGCGGCAATGACTTGCGATTCCGGCTTCGGTCTACCCATGGGTTTCATCCTTAGATGATGTGACCCTCTCTTCTTTCTCATGCTCGACGTTCTAGTCCCGTGCCGGTAGAGAGTCATAGCAATTGACGGGGTCACAAAGTCGTCTTCTCCATTCTCCTCCTCTTTCTTTGGGGTTCATTTCCGGCTAGCCAATTCATTCCTTGTGGATATCTTCCGGGATGGGGATGACTACGGCTCTCATCATCTTCTCACGTTAGACCGAATCGGTCTAAGCTTTCGAAGGACAGATGCCTGCCTCGCAAGGGCATAAGAGTCCGCCAATAAAGGGATGGTGCCTCTGAGTTACACCGAATTGATGAGGACTGAGTCCAATGAAGATGGTATCGGCACAAGGTAACTGACTGAGTTACACCGAATTGTTTCACACTCCTTATTATTTAAGTAACTTTCCTAATTTTTTGTTCCATTCATTCAACTTCATAAAATTTCTTAAATATAATTTACAACCCGCCCTACCCATACACTTTGCACATTTCCTTTTTTCTCTTTATTTTTGTTAATATACTAAGTGATTATGTTCATGTTTATCACTCATTCTCTAGGCAAAAGCAACATGGATATGCAGTCAAAAATTAATCATAATTTTTGGGAATATTTACCTCTTCTCCTTCAACATAATAAGTGTGATTTTGGTCCTTCTATTTTATTTTGAACACTTTTAGTCCTCATGTTTCCAACTTGTGCATTTAGTCCTTCTATTCTTCAACTATTTACATCACAAAACTTATGTAGATAACACATTCCTACTTAATGTCCAAGTGAAATGCTAATAATGATTATGTTATTATTCATATTAACAACATTTGGAGCTAATTTTTGCATGGTTTGTTCCTTTATCTATCACCTATCAAGACACTTACCAACTATTATTACTTATAGTATTTTAGTTTTATTAGTTTAATAATCAATGAACTCTAGACGCCAAATAAAAATTTATTAGCTAAGTAGGCAAAATTTGTGACACTAATAATGTCTAAGTTGAGGTCTAGAGTGGAGTGATAGAATCAAAATAAATGGGGAATTAAAGTCACATTATTGCAAAAGATTAAAAAGTGTAATATCTATAATTGATGATGTAAATATTTATACACAATCAATTCATATGTATTCTTCTATTGTTTAATAGAGACAAGAAATTTTAAGAAGTGAAGGTAATTTTTTTAGAAAGAAATAGATGAATGACTAAAAAGAAGGTTGGTTAAGTAAGTTACATATATCTATGTAATAACGGGAAAGGTGACGAACTTTTCAAAGGAACAAACAAACATTGAAAATTTCAACTTGGAACAAGTTACCTTCTTCTTCTTCTTCTTTTTGTGATTGTTCATTTTAGGTTTCACCATAATCTCCAAGTGAGGTTGAATTAATGGAGAATCTCATACAGTTGGTGAACAAAATACAGAGAGCATGCACTGCCCTCGGTGATCACGGTGAAGAATCTGCATTGCCCACTCTCTGGGACACTCTTCCCTCCACCGCCTTGTCGGTGGCCAGGTCTCTTCATCCTACATTATCCATTTTATGATTCATGTTTTCCTACCTTTTATTTTAACGCATTCCTATTATATCCGGACATATGGTAGAGCATTATCGTGTCGTTCTGTGTAGCCGATCTCACGTAATAAATCTATTGATGTTGCAGAGCTCTGGAAAATCTTCAGTTTTGGAGAGTATTGTTGGAAAGGACTTTTTACCTTGTGGATCTGATAATTAATTTAGTTTGTTAATGCCTATTGCTATTAGCCTATTACTATATGAATATATGTAATGTATAGAGTATATGATATGAACTTGTGGATAGTAAACCTCACTGTTTATATAGGGATTGTTACATGGCGTCCTCTTGTTTTGCAACTTCATAAGATTGATGAAGAGCGAGAATATGCTGAATTTATGCACCTTCCAAAGAAGAAATTCCCTGATTTTGGTATCATACCCATCTACAAACTTTCTTCACACTAATAGCATTATGTGT